GGTCACTCCACTGTTATTCGCAGAAGATGCTAAGCAAACCAGAGGAGCGAAAGGCATCTAGGCGTAGACTATAAGTCAGGATTCGCAAGCACACCATTACCCCATACAAGAGCTTCGTTAGTCTCCGGGATAGACGACAATCAATTGGGAGAGGCCGTCTGACCAGGAGCAATACAGCTGCCAACATACTACTGCTTAAGAACCTTTAAGAACCGCAAACCACAGCACACAGTTCCGCAGTAACAGCACTACCCGGATGGAAACGGTACCATTTGGCTAAGTCCTATAAAAAAAATTGTGCAATTGAATGTGAGGTGGTGGAGCTATGGCTCAGTGCTCACGCCAATGTCGGAAGCAGAAAGAGAGGACCGATCCGGAAACCACAAGGTCGGTGGACGAAAAGGGAAGCTGGGATAGCTAAACTTAAATCGGAATACCGCCACCACCACCAAATAGTTTTATATAGATCACTCCAACATGGCTCAGTCATTTCTCCTGGAAAACGTTACACCTCCAACCGCCCCGTTTTGCAGTTCCCCTATCATACTTGCGAAATCGGCGCGGTGCTACCGTGCCTGCACTCACGCTTGGGTAGTGTGCTGATTCGTTCCGTAACTGTGAAGCCACTAATTATTTTACAAAGCCTGCAGCTATAGTTCTTGCCTTATATACAGCATCGAGCAGTCTTAGGAAATTACGAGACTGAATTATTCACAAAAGCACAAAAGCGGTAACCTCAAAGTTTCTGGCAGTTATCATGCAGCAGTATGTGTCTCGCGGCAGTCTTTCACGGAGTGTTGTTAATACGGTAAACGAAGCCGTCGCCAAGATAGCCCGAGCAACAACACCGGCGTCATAATCTCCGATCTGAATGTCTCAAATCCCACGATTCATACAAAAGTGAGTGGCCTAACTAAGCCCCGCACCTATGTGTATACGGTACACGCGCAAGAACGGTACGATGTATGCATACTACCGGTAACTCAAAAACTCCGACAACTCAAGTTAACTGCTACCTTCTAATTTCACTTCCCCCCTTCCTTACCTTCAGCCTTTGTGCCAGATGGAGGGTCACTAAGTGCAGATCCCCCCCCGTATAATTGACGAGATCCGCCTCCCCCTTCATTTTCCACAGAAAGAGCAACAGGGTAGTTCCCACGAAACCGTTTTCGCATATCAACCATTCCCCGCCTCATCAAACATTAGAATTAAGCTTCTGTCTATAAAGATCGAGCTTCAAAGCTTACTTGCATTCACCGTAGCCTTTCTTCAACCGTTGACATCGGGTTGGTAGTGTTTCGACCAGTGGATACCGGAGACAATCAGCTGGTTTGTTGCGATCGACCATCACGCAGTCAGAATTTTCAAGACATTGGGCCAGTGCCGCTCCTATGGAACATCAATTGTCAGCTACTAACCAGCATACCATGGGCGGGGATCTCACGAATGTCTTTGCACGAGGACGGCATTGTTTGTGTAATGAATCAATTTCGGGTTGAGTCCTGAAGGTCCAGAAAAGGTTTCGATGATCTCCGCCAAGCTCAGGCTTATCCTTGCTACGGCAGGCTCAGGCTCAGGCTTGCGGCGGTTGGCACGTGTCACTGTTGCTGGCACTTGTCCCGCAAGCACCGGAAAACAGGGGGGACACATTTTGCATCAGCGCTCAGACACAAACAGATGTTTTGCCATAAATTATTGTGCATGGACAGAATTAACCGCGATTCAACAGAGGAAAATCTTTGGCGATGACAACCACACTCACCCACCAATCCACTATCATGAAAACCAAATTTTTTTTTTTTTTAAAAGATGTAAATACATAGTAGAAATTAATATTTAGTATACCATCCATCAGCCTTAATAATTACCTCTATTCTATCTACCATTGATCCGGCTAAAGTATCAAAAACCTTTGAGTCAAGAAGTTCTCAACAATAAGTGATGGCCTCTACTATTGCCTTCTTGACCACATTGACATCACCCTTCATAAGATATAGCTCAAGGTAGTACTTGTGAAGCATACCTTTCACCAGAGACCAAATATTTTCAATTAGATTGAGATCTGGTAAATAGGCAGGAATTTCCATTAGTGTAATTCCCTGCCATCTAAGCCATCTCCTAAAAGGCAAGTGAGTCTTAGCATTGTCAATAATAAAAAATACCTCTTCTTCTCCAGCCTTTTCTCTGATATTCTCCCATATCTTTAGAAAGTCATAATGATCATAAACATTAATAATTGACTTCCCAGTAACTCCACTTCTAGCAGAAGAAGGATCAGGAAAAACAGGCAAAAAAAGACCATGAGTTTGACTATAAAAACAACCAGTCATCATCTGGCTAATCCCTCTCTCCCCTCTCCTAGCCTTAAGTTCTATACAATCCTTATTACATTTCTCATATAGGTATTTGAAAACCTATTTACTCCTCTTTCCTCCTCTCCTTTCCACAGCTACCTCATTCTCCTACATTGCCTTCCTTCTCCACATCCCCTTTATCCAATACCTATGAGCTAATACCTATTCTAACCTCTCTGGAGCTAGATCCTCATCCAAATGAACTCTCTCTTATGCCATCCACTTTCTAAGATGCTTTTTTTCAAGTCTTCTTCTTACTGTCCTACTAGAAATATTGGGAGCAACTTGCTCAGTAATGTCAGAATAGGTAGTATAGTAATTTTGAAGAGCTTCCTCCACCATAGCATTATCCTGTAACTTGGTAGTTTTTGGATATCTTCTTCTTCCCTTATTCTCCTTGCCCTCTTGATATCCTTTTACAATTATGTCTCTGATGGTAGTGTAGGAGATATTAAGGTAGTGGGAAATTTGCTGATATCTCATCTGAGGCTTATATAACCTGAGAATCCTCCCACTGGTAAACTCAGAGAAATGTGTGGAAGAAATACGTTTTTTGGCATAACTGTGAAGAATAGGAGGCATAGTTTATTGAAAAAAAGAATTGAATAGAATTGAGCAGAATGGTTTCTTTTTTGTTGACTTAGAGTAATTTTTTTAGGTACTGTTGAGAGTGTGGGATGATGAAGAGGAGTGAATTGCCACTGATTATTAAATCACAGTTAATTTTGTTAATGCACAATACAATCTGTGTTTCTGAGTACATAAGCAAGATACTGTGCTTATACCTAGGACAAGTCTGAATGAGGTTAGTCACATCTGTTTCGCTGCTAGCCAATCCTGTTTACAGAATACAACAGAAAGATAAACTCTTAATCAAATAGTCAGCAATGAATGTGAATACTTGTACTATACATAACTAAAATCTCAGCAACAGTGGTGCACTGGAGAAACATGGTCATGAGAGGGTCTCTATTTCCTCTTATCTTAGTCAACTGTAGGCTGATGGATAATGTGTCAGGCCTCTGATATTGTATATTAATAAAATTAACCGTGATCCAACAATCGGTGGCAACCTACCTCTCTTCATCACCCTGCACTCTCAACAGTACCTAAAAAAATTACTCTAAGTCAACTAAGAAGCAACCATTCTGCTCAATTCTTTTTTTCAATAAACTGTGCCTCCTATTCTTTGCAGTCATATTAAAAAACCTATAGTCACTCGGCAGAAGTGTTCGTGATCTGAGATAATGTTTAATTGTGGTTGCGCCATATGGTAGGACAGTGCCGGTAGGGCTGTCAATGGGCATGCATGTGTGCGAGTTCAAGTTCACAATCAACAACCACTGGCACCTCTCAACATTTAATGGTCAATTGACCTACTATAAAATAAACTAGCTAATATTTTGTATAACCTCTCCTTGCTTCTAAAACTACAGCCACCCTATCAGACATTGATTTCTACAACTTCTCAAAAAACTCCTCAGGAATTGTCTCCCAAACTAATGGTAATACATGTGCAAGTCTTTTCCTAACAGCCTCTTTTCCTCCTAAAGTATCTGCAATCCTTGGATACTGCTGGTACAATCGCTTTTTAAGCTCAACCCATACAGGCTCAATAGGATTTAAATCAGGAGAATAAGGGAGGTGGTCCACAACCTCAATACTGTTTCTCTCCAACCAATCTATAACACTCTATACCTTGTGAACAGGAGCATTATCTTGCTGAAAAAAAACATCTTCAAGCTGTATACCAATGGAAATTATTTGATGAATAACAGGAAAAAGATATCTTCTCAAAAGTCTAACATACCTGATCTTATTGATAGTTTGAGTAATAGGAACTAATGGACCTTTTGTTAGGAATACCAAAAGTTGATACCTAGGAACCACCCTAAGTAGGGTAATTCCACTTGGAATCGGAATCTCTGGTCTCCAACACCCCCCTCCGGCTCCCTTACGGAGCCCGCGCGTCATCATATATATCAATCTCAGTTACGTCCTGTGACTATATTACCACAGAATTAAAGGTGTTAGAATAATACCATATACGTCGCCGCCGTCTGTCCGACCGGATCCTGTTCACAGGATATATGAGAGAGGACCTTCGGCTAGGTCTGGGAAGTGGAACGGAATGATTCCGTCAACTACTCAGAGAGTTACCTGGCTCCAAAGATATGATACCTTTGGTACAGGTCATAAGTAATGGGACGGTTTCGCATAAAGAGATGGTATCAAATGGTAAAGGATCTCTAATAGAGACCAATACATTTACATCCACCAGAAGAGTCTAGAACTCCAAAAGACACTACCAAAGAAGCCAACGAGCTTCACGGAGTTTTGCAACTGGGTTTCGGAACAAGTCATAATCATGGGGTGATTCTCAATACTACAATGGTTACTGAAACCTACTACCCAGAGAGCAACTAAGGGTTGCCGACCGAGGGATTAATTACCAATCTGGTGGAATAGCTTCCTGCGAGTTGATAGGAAGTTATCCAGAGAAAATCTATCAGTTGGGTAGGGAGTTACAAAGGATCGGAGTCAGATGACCTACGATGGTTGTAATAACGACCACCTTTGCAGATATAGCCGTGGATAAAACTGATCATTTTATCAATGGCGAAGACAATTGGAGCTAACTCAGTTCGACTTAAGAACTAGACCATAAGTCTAAAGACTCTGCTAATCGGGATATTACTATTGGAGATAGTACATTTCCTAAGAAGAAATATCGTAATTACCGAAGAGGGTGTGATGGTTTTCAGGGTCCCCAGGTGTTTGCACCTTGGAAGAAAAACTCAACGTTGTGAATTTCGATTAAAGAAGTACATAGTTGTATGATAAATAGATGTAGTCCGCAAACACTCAGACGCGGAATATAAATATCAAAGTACCTCACAAGCTTTAGACATTATGAAGCAACGGAGAAGAGACCTTAACAATATAATATTGTTTTTACGATTCTACCCTACCTTACCTATTTTACTTCACTCCTAGTAGTCATAAACGAAACGAGCAAAGTCCGAGCCTTCCTAGACAATCTCTGTCTATAGAAACGAATCTCGATTGGCTTAGACAACTTCGAAGTCTATCAAGTTGTCTCCGCCTAACATCTTTTCTTTTACCCCAAAAGTACCCCTAAACTATAAGCGAGATTCCCTTATCCTTCTCCTTTGGGTGTACACAATTAGCCAACTACTTCTCTGTAGGTTCTCTGAATACCCATTGTTGCTTTGGATCCTTGAATTTCTCCACACAGCACTCATCACTCCAAATCACCCTTTCAAAATCCTTAGCTGTCCAGTCCCTATGAGCTGTAGCCCATTTCAATCTCTTAGCCATATGATCAGGCTTTAGCCTAGATCTTGACATGGTTATCCATTTTTTAATGTTTGCTTCTCTGAGTACCCGGTCCACTATGCAGGCAAATTTAGTAGGCAATCATATCCAGTCACTCTGGATAGTACAAAGAGTTACCAGTATCAAGAGAAATATCGGGTGCATAGCGATCCCTGAAGGTGCATCTAGTTATTCTCCAGTTGAACTTGGCTGCCTGTATAATTGTACGATGCTATTGACCACTTAAAATGGGGGTGTGACTAGGGCGAGGGACATTTTCAAGAGATTGGCATTTACATGCCTGGACAAGAAAGCTCTTAACTGTTGTCCATGGGTATCTAATAATTTGAGCCACCAAAGCAATATTCCGGAGGCAGTAGAAAAAGGCGATTATCATGCCCTTCTCTGCAAGGCTCATTTCTCTCTGTGTGATTTTAGGTGGGGGTCTTTTTTTTGCGGCATACTTCGTATTTCCAGAACGCTTAACCATTGGTAAAAAAGGTAGAGGAAATTAATAAATTAATTAATTAGGTAAAGGAGGCTTCGGTAGATGTAGATTTGTGAATGGTCATGGTTGCAATAGGGTAAACGGTCACCATCAACTTTACACTTCATTGAAAACTGGCATTTTGGCAAGGCAGCTTAGTCATCTGAGACTGGTTTCACGAACACTTCTGCCTAGTGACTGTATTCCCTCCACACATCTCTCTAAGTTTACTGATGAGAGGATTCTCAGGTTATACAAGCCTCAGATGAGATATCAGCAAATTTCATAC